ATTTGTAGATGACACCAAGTTGGGTGGGAGTGTTGATCTGCTGGAGGGCAGAAAGGTTCTGGGAGAAAGGGACCTGGACAGGCTGGATCAATGGGTTAAGACACACGGCATGAGGTTCAAACACGCCAAGTGCTGGGTCCTGCCCTTGGGTCACAACAACCCCAGCAGTGCTACAGGCTGGGGAAGAGTGGCTGGAAAGTGGCCAAGAGCAAGAGGATCTGGAGGTGTTGGTCAACAGCAGCTGAGCACGAGCCAGAGTGTGCCCGGGTGGCCAAGAAGGCCAGTGGCATCCTGGCCTGTACCAGAACAGTGTGGCCAGCATGGCACACTATTAGCCTGGAGAAAAGGAGACAGAGAAGATCTCGTGGCTCTCTACAACTGCCTGAAGGGAGTATGTAGCCAGTCCCTTCTCCCAGCCAACCGGGGATAAGAAGGTATAATCTTAAGCTGTGCCAGGGAAGGTTGGACATCAGGAAGAAATTCTTCCTGGAAAGGATGACTGAATATTGTAATGGACTGCCCAGGAGGTGGCAGAGCCATTATCCCTAGAGGTGTTTAAGGAAAGACTGGATGTGGCACTCAGTGCCATGGTCTGGCTGGAGTGGTGGTGTTGGGTCACAAGTTGGACTTGACGACCTCAGAAGTCTCCTCCAACCTACCTGATTCTGTGATTCTAGATAAACAGCCTAGTTATGAAACATGTCACTTAGTGGTCTTACCTGCAACTTTTTGAAGTTATTTTTGTTTTGCTTTGCTTTAGAACACAACAGTAAGATAACCAATGCTTAGATGTTTATCTAGCCATATATAGGATTTGAAAATCTGTTGCAAGCAGGATGTTTTCCTGAGAAACTACTATAAGCTTCTGTCAAATATATTAAAAAAAAAAAAAAACCAAAAAAAACCCAAAAAAAACATTTCTAGGCCTTCTGGTTTTAATGAAAATCTTCCAAAGCTCCCTGAGCAGCCCAATGCTCCCTGAGGAGCTAGAAAGGAAAGGAAGCTGAGGGAGAAGCTTGTACACCAACACTGGTCTGTCTGACCAATCGCTTTTAAAGAATCCAAATATACATAAAGGCACAGAAGGTAAAAAAACCTCTTTTCACCACCTTTTGAAAGATGGTTTCTCATATATCCAGGAACACTTAAAGGTGGAGCATTAAGCCACTTTACCACTAGATAAATCCAGTATCTCCACTGTTTTCAGCTGCCACAGTACTATTCTATTATCAGACTACTTTTTATGAATCATATGGCTTCAAAATAAGTTCCAATTAAAGAGAATTAGTCCTCTGATTACTAGGTACTCCATAAAGTGCTTCTGGATACACAGGTGAGATTGGCTACAGACGTCTGTGGTGACTGTAAGTGAAATAACTCACATTTTTCAATATTTTGGTCATGTCAAACATTATATAAGCACAAGGTATTGTAGCTAGTAATTGAGATTAGTAATTGGTAATTTTTATGTCACAAGAACATCTGTATTCTTTGCAGACCTTTGTGACATCCACAGGGCTTTGTGACTTTGCACTATCTTCTCATCTTACTGGATAATGCTGATGCACTCTGCAAGAACTTAGGAGAAAGCAACTGCTACCTCAGACTGTTACAATCAGCTTACGAGGAAATCTGCTTCAGCTTCCATAAGTGACACTGGGCAAGTCCCTAAGCCTGTCTCACCTGGATGTGGGTAAATCAGCAAGAGAAATCGTTTCAATTGCACACCGGCAGCAGCTACACAGCAGGGAGCAGCACAACTCCCTAGCAAATTATTGAACGTATGCAGAAATAAATCTGCTGCTCTAAATCTGGCAGCTTTTGTAACTGTTAATGCTTACCTCCAAATACTTAATCCACCTAAAATTTTACTACTGCTATTTAACAGGAAGTGTATTAGGTCTTTTTTAAGAAAAAAAAAATAAAATCTATGAGTGTTCATACCTACATTCTTTCTAGTCCTACTGAGAGTTTCACATGTAGCTTCTGCTGGCTAATACAGAACATGGATAAATTGTCCCAATGCTGTCACACTTTTGCCAAGTGCACTCAGAACACTGGGGTATTGACCACTTTCCCCATTCCCTGATTAACAAGATAGTTTATAAAATCTTTTATGGTGTGACACAGAGAAAGAGCATACATACATTACCTCTGAAAAGAAAGCAGAAATGCACTGAAGTTTGAGCACCTCTGAGGAAGACAACTGCACACATATCAAGTAACAGTGTAATTTCTATTATCTCCTCAATAGTCGCAGGCTGTGAGGATGAATGAGAGGTGTGTGTGGCCAGAGAAACTTGCCTCACGCAGCATTTCTTAATGAATCAATGACACCAAATGGGAAGATGTACAATAGCCCTCAGCATAACTTTCCTGTGTATTATGCCAGGTATGCACCTCCCATCTCTCAGCACAGGGCTTTCCCAGGGTTCTTGCTAGGCCATGCTGTAGACCATTGGATCCACTTAGATTCTTACCACTGTACAAGTAAAAAAAAAAATCCTTTAAACTTTTATATACTTTTTGTCTTTTCCAGATTACAAGTTCTTACAATGCTTCAACATACTTGCTACACAACTGGTTTTTATTGGGACCCACTTCTACCACCAGCACATCTTAATCCCCAAGTTCTTCCAGTGAAACAACATAATAATAAATTGACTACTAGTAAATTATTTCAGATTTTCATTTGCCTTGAGGCTTCTTGATATATGCCATTTCAGGGACAGAATACATCAGAGAAAGAAATGCAAGCGTTGATAAAAGAGCCCAAGGTAAGTGTCAGTCAAAATACCACAAGGATTTGTGCAGTCCTTTCAAAGTTTTCCACTTCTTTCTCAACTGCAGAAGACAAAGCAGTAGATCTGGGGTTTTAACAAGTCTTTTTACCCAAACAGAGTTACTCCTCATACACAGTAATGTTTCTCAGTATACTGTTTTCCATTTCCTGTTTGTGGGGGGTTTTGTTGCTTGTTGGTTTGATGTTTTTTGGCAATGAAAGTTACTTTAAAAGACTGCTTTTATTAATGCTCTCATTCAGGGTGCTACAAAAGATATCACACACCACAACAGCACTTCCCTAGAAGCTGATGGTTTTAATCCCATGTACATACATATGGAAAAATAAAAAAAGAGAAAACTTAAAAAGGCTGCTGAGGAAATCTAGATGAAAATTGTAATGACTTAACACTAGGTAAAGTAGCAGCCCACATCCTTTCTGGATGGGCATAACAATATTTGCATAGATAAAAACCTTATAGTCAAGATAGAAAACAAAAATAATTAAAGGAGAAAATCATATATAATTGCTCAAATGCACAAAGGCCATTGACTGATGAGAATTTTTAAATTTTTCACATATTCTGTGACCTGCATGCTAACTGTTCATGCCTCCTCACAAGCTTCAACCTGTTTAAGGTTACTAAGATGTGAGGGGCAAAAAAATCCCTACCACCCCCACTTTTTTTTGGCCAGCCAAATAATCCAAATAGAAATTCATAAATCTTTGTGCTTTCATAAGACTTTACATCTTCAAAGTACCGAGCGCACATTTGCTAATCAATGAATTCCCCTGTCTCGAATCTGAAGTGCCTTGGAGGAATGGGGGGCCAAACCACCACAGTTCAGGCAAACCTGGCCCCGAATACTTCACCAGCTTGATGCCTCAGGGGCTGGCAGCGGCCTGGGCAGCAGCAGGTCAGGCGCTGCTCTGCTTTATAGCGCCCGCTGCAGCCAAGCTGTGACTCAGAGCAGGGGATCTAAAGGTGACCTTCAGCACCCCCGCCTGAACCCTGAGCGCTCGGAAGCTGCGGCGCACAGGGTTCACCTTCCAGGTGCCTTTTTGCTCTCCGCCAGACCAGCCGAAGGCTCCTGAGATCAGACTTGGTGAGGGAACGCGGGCAGGGACGCGCAGGGCCGGCCAGCAGCTCAGTGAGCAGGTGCCACCCTCGGGGAGCCAGCCCGGCCCGGGCCCGGAGCCGCCTGCCGGGCCTGGGACTCCGCGGCACCCGACGGCTCGCAAGGCCGCCTCGGGGCATCGAATGGCGGCTGCAGCCTCCAGGTTTTGGCCAGTGAAGGGTGACATGGATTCGAGGAGTGATCACCACATGGGATAGGCAGGACTTCCTGCGCAAAATTGCCTGAGGGGACCAAGCGAAGGGACACACTGTACATCCCTGCCTCACGCAGGGTTTACTTCGCTATTTCGCGAGCAGCCTCTCCCTCCTCAGCCGCTTCCATCGACGCCCAGCTCTCTCTCCCACCACCATGCCCACCGTGTTTGAACAGCCCGGGCTCGCCCCCACCGAGGCGGG